ATAAAATAAATAAAATCTTTAAAAAAATAAATAAATAAAATAAAATAAAATTTAAAAAAATAATAATAATAAAATAAAATAAAATAAAGCCAAGATCATTGAGTTTGTTATGGGTGGCCTCTGGTTGTGGCTTCTTACATATTTGTGCTTAAGATCTTCCTCTTTTCTCTGACAGAAGAGAAGATGAGAGAGAGGATGGAACAGAGGAGAAGGAGGAAGAGAAAGAAAGGAAGACAACAATACACTGTACACAGAAGTTTGTCAGGATACATCTGGCCTTTATACGCTGCTAGGAATCTCTCAGATAACTGGGAATGATTATTTGGGGTTGTCTCAAAAACACTTTACGGAATGAACAAAACAACTTTTCCCTCTCTGACCCAATTCACTTTATCCGGCCTCTCTTATCTTATACCAACCTGATTTTGCTTAAGGTATCGTCTGTCTCAGGCTTTCACAGCAGCTTTCTTTTATGGATTTTCCATCCAGCAAATGTTTCTGTTCCACGGCTGGGCAGATCCGACCACAGCATGCTTGGCTACAGACGCAGCGGCTCACCCACAGCAGCTCCAACCTGGAGGGGCAGAGGCCAGAAGCCATTATAGAGATTCATGTTCACAAACTCTCTCTGTCAAGAGTATGTGTTTGGCAAGATAACCCCAAAAATCTTCCAAATGTTCAAAATCATTAAAGAACAGAGACAACAGCTTATAAGGTGTCCTAAAGACAAGTTTGGGCTATTCTGAGGAGAGGACTGAAATATTTAATTATTATTGAAAAGGTGTGGCCAAACAATTATGCTCTGTTTGTGGAAAATTCAAAAGCCAGATGTTTAATTAACCACAGAAAACACGAGCTACAACTAAAATTTCATGAACACACTGATCTGCCCTGTGGAAAACCACAGGAATGTTCTGGCAAGGCTCCGTCTGAATTCTTGGGACACAGAGGGCTGGAATTATCCCCCTTAGGAACTTGAACAGAAAATGAACTTGCTCAATATGTTTAAAAAAGTAAAATGAAACCCAGATGTAATCTCAATCAAATACAAAAACATTTCAGGACTTCAAACGGCACCACCAAAAGACACATAAGGGGAAGGTCATACGAAAAATTCCAATGTGGTTCAGGATTTAGAATGTATTCTCAATGCAAAGGGAATAGTGTAACAGAAAATTTTATACGCTAAATAATCCGAAGGGGAAACTAATCATCTTTCATTTCCTAATAGAGGAAAATGATATATGAAACACATATTCAACAAGTGAATCATAAATATTATCAAATGTATAATATATTCGGGCAAAAGGAATCTCTTAACTACCCTAATTCATGCCAAACCTGTGGCCTGGCCCGCACTAGCTACTATGCCTCAGCTTGAGGAATCAAGGCATCCAGAAAAACCGTGTTAAAATAACTTATACTCACGGATATTGCAGCTAGCAATTCTGGCACAGAAAACTCAAATGAGGGAATCTTACAAAAGCAATTGGTGAATAATTGAGAACCAACAGATTAAAAAGTCTTTGTTTGTTAATTATAGTAATAGTTATGACAACATCTATATATGCTAAATATTGAAAGCCTATTCAAGAAGGAACAGAACAAATGTTATTTTCAGACACTGGGTCCACGATTCTATTTCTGTAAGTCAAAACAGACCCCGTCACAAGTGTGCCAAGCATAATATTACATTAATCTCTACCTTCATTTGAAACCTCAGTCCCAAAAATCATCTCCAAAGGAACACAGCAGGAAAAAAGGCAAGATATCATGTTATATATGTATGGTATAATCCCAATTTTGTCCTACAAATCGAGTGTATATAATCTAAAGACACCAAAGTATGAACAATAGCTACTTCTGGGTCACGGAATTAGAAGATATTTATGTTTCCTTCTTGGTGTTTTCCAAAGTTTCTACAATTAATATGTTTTGCTTGTAGAATTAGAATATTTTTAAATAAGGTTTTCCTTAAATAGTATGAGAATACAAATCAGAAATGGGATGTATACTATATTAGCCTGATCTGTGGGTTTCCTCTTATGTGAATAATAAGAGCTAATAAATTAAGAAGTCTTCCTTTATCTGACTCAGTAATTCCTAATTTAGAAGCTCAAAACCCAAGTGTCCAATAACACTTCCAGGGCTGAACAATAGTTCTTTCCCAGAGCTAAGAAATTTTTGTTATTCTACAAACTTGCCACAAAGAGACAAAAATAGACCATAGCTATTTCCCTCCCTTAACCAATGCATCCAAACTTCTCCGTCACTGGCCACGCCAGAGAATTATGGCTTAATTAAAAAGAGCGCCTCCTGATGTTACTTACAATGTCACAGGAGCAAGGCCCTTAAGTGAACACTGCCACACTTCATCTCTGATACTCTTAGCATCACAGAAAACATAAAACACAATGGCAGAATCTTAATGCTGGGGTACTTGACGATCCGTCACTCCAAGAAGCCCAACCCTCTCAGTTTACAAATAAGGACACAGACGCCCAGAGAGGTCAAATGTCTTTTCCAAGGCCACACAGCTGGTGGAGCAGGGATGACAGTCTAGATCGCCTGTCTTCACTTTGACCAGGCGCTCTTTCCACTACTACAACATCTCAGCACGCACTTGACGAAATTTGTTTGTATGAACCACACGCACGTGTTAAATTCATATCAGCAAAACTAGAAGAACAAGACAGAAATTTGTTCCACCAAAAATGAAACGCATGCAGGAAAAAAAGCAAAGACTCAACTGCAGGCTAAAAGAGACGTGACTCTGCGCAGAACACGTTCAACCAGAGACACAATGGCTGCAGTGTGCTCAGGCAGCAGGTGTCCTGACCAGAAACTGCCCATCACACCGACAGTTTTCTGGTCCTAGTACTCACCCTGTTGATACCAGCACAGCCCCACAGCTCAAAGCAGGACAAAAGCTTTTCAACAAGGTAAAACCATACTTGCACCGAGCCACCCGTAAGAGACAGAAAAGGATGCATGCTCACCCCAGTGCTGGACACAAGTGATTTATGGCGTCAAGTCCTGGCCTTTTCCTTCCAAAACGACCCAAGTCTTAGGGAAGAGACATTAGTGGTTTCAAAATTAAGAAAACAACAGTCACTAAGAACTAAAATAAAATAAAATAATCCTCATGCTTCACATCTTAACGTTGGCTCCAACCTTAGAGAGTGAGCAGGATATTTTTCTTCTTCTAAATGATTCATTTGAAATATTGCTCACCTCCACTTCTTTCTTAGTGTCTACCCACAGCGTCCCCACCACACCAATCAGAAACCTAAGATTCTCACAAAAGGTGAGTAGCCTGAAAAGCAAGGGGAGAGAAGAGGACAGATGGCAATGACAAACTCAAATGCTCCCTGAAAAGCCTTTGTCGAGCTCACTTCTCGTCACTCTTTGCCTACTGTGCAGCAGGACAACAAAGGCATGAACTGTGAAGCTGCTAGTAAAAAAAGCCACATCGAGGGATGATGTGATCTCGCTTTGTAAGAGCAGAACAAACACAACGGCTCTGTCCCGCCTCATCTGAGAAGTCAGCCACCCGACAAAAAAAAGAAAATGCGTTTTTTTCCACCCAAAACTACTCCTAAAGTCTCCACCATATTTTCATGGCTGGATCCTGGAGGAAAGACAATATTGGCAGTTTATTTACTCCCTTCTAGGCCTCAGTTCTAATACTAAAGGTTCATGTCCACAGCGGGCAAAAGGAATTAGATTCTTGTTGCTATTTCACAATGAAATCCAAGTATTGTGGGTGAGTATTGGTCAAGTAACTCTTCAAAGCCATTTGTAAGGTAATGATAGTAAGTTTGAATGTAGCAGTCTGGTGGAATGAACTCTGACCTACTAATCACACAATCTTGCTGAAGTCACCAAATTATTTTCTCAATAGAGACGAAACAGAAATTAGCATTAGATCTGATCATAGATGTTAAAATCCTTTCTTACTTGGAACCTTGTCTGTGTGCTGTTTGGTTTTTAGTTTCAGTAAATGCTTTTGGCAAAATGTGCACCCAGATAGTGCCACTATTTCAGAATTTTAAACGTTTGGCCAGCATTTTATTTTTCCTATTCTAACATCATAGGAAGGTTTCTCCTTCTTGAGCCTGATTCCAGAAATATCAGCCAAGCCAATTCAACACTTTGGAAATTTCTATCTCAAAATGACCAGGAGGACCAGGCAAAAATATGCTGCAGAACATCGCTCTCATTGCTTTGGAATTTGATTTTAAAAACTTAGATTCACAATATTGATAGATTTACATCTTAAAATGTTTGAGAGAGGAGAGTATAAATTGTTTGAAATCTTTTTTTTTGTTTTTCAGAAAGAATCTACGAGGGCCCGGCCCCGTGGCCCAGTGGTTCAAGTTCCTCGTGCTCCGCTTCGGCGGCCCGGGGTTCACAGGTTTGGATCCCAGGCACAGACCTACTTCACTCACCAGCCATGCTGTGGCAGTGTCCCACATACAAAAAAAATAGAGGAAGACTGGCACAGATGTTAGCTCAGGGGTAATCTTCCTCAAGCAAAAAGAAAAGAAGAAGATTGGCAACAGGTGTTAGCTCAAGGCAAATCTTCCTCAGCAAAAAGAAAAAAAAAAAGAATCTATGATAGGTACTCATCACAGGCAACCGAAAAGAATCTATTATGAATAACCCAAATTGGCACCCAACAAATTTTGTGGCTGATGATAAAGACAATATGGCAATTTGGAAAAGGTTTCACATAATAACTTCCCCTGTGATGCTCTCAAGAGGGTTTCAACTGGAAGGTAGACAGGGGGAATTTATGCTTACTAAAGTTTTAAAGGTTGTTCTGGAAAGAATAAGGGAAGACGAAATTAGCAGATTTTGAGGTTATGATCCCAGCTCTGCTGCTTATGACCCAAGGCTTTCTGGGATAACTAATTTATTCTCTTTAACCTTTGCTCCATCATTTGTTAAACTGGGATGCCACTATCAGCCAACTTCACGGGATTGTCAAGGGATGAAACTAAATATGAAAGCATTATAGAAATTTATAAAGCACTATGTATTCATTCAGCAAATATTTACTAAGACACTACTATGCTGCCAGATACGGCACTGTAGATACAGCCATGAACAAGAGACCCAGTCCCTTCCTGCAATGACCTAGGTTAAGGGACACAGTGTGATCTGTGAGAGGCACAGGGGGCTATGGGAACATGTAGGCAGCCTCTAATCCCAATACCAGACAAATATCAGGTATTGTCACCTTTACAAGCCCTTGAGGAAGTTTCTCAGGGAAAAGTGGTAAATGTGGTTTTTAGGTTTAACTGCCTGTTAGCTCATTCATTTAGTATATTTTTATTGAACACTCACTATGTGCTAGGCACTTTTCTAGGTGCTGGAGATGTAGCACTGAACACAGTTTCTGCCCTAACAGAAACTCAGAGATGACATTTCAGTCACTCCTCAACCACATGAAATGCAAAATACATGAACTAAATAGATTTATGCAGCCAAGCTGCTTCTGCTGCAATACAACAATTTTTTAACCAAAATATCCACACACAGAAGTTAAAAGGAATATTCTAATTGATC